TCTGCAGCCTCCTTGGTCCATCCTCTTCCCCTGCAGACATTCCTTCTTCAGTCTCCTTGGTCCATCCTCTTCCCCTGCAGACATTCTTGTAGAGTCTCCCTTAGTGCTCACTGCATACCTTTGCCTGCTGGGCCTTCCTCAGAGTGGTGGCTAGAGAGCTTCCTTAGCACCTTGGGAATTCTCTTTGTGTCTGCCCTTTTCCTGGACCACATGGCTTTATTTGCCATTGCAAAGCTTTACTTTGCTCACATGGCTTCTTAAAAGCAAACACTTGGACAAGTGAGATGGCTCAGCAGGTAAAGGCCTTGCTGGCAAAACCTGATGATGACTAAGTTGGCTCCTGCAAGTTAGAGCGGAACCAGAGGCTCACCTCCTGAATGTTGTCCTCTGCCTGCCATGTGAGTGCCATGCGTGCTCTGCACCTCCACCCCCGACAATAAGAGGAACAAAGGAATAAGGATACATAAAGCAAACAGGAAGCCAGCACGTTTAGTCTCACATTTGATTTTATATGGTCTTATTTTATCTTTGTAAGATTATTAATCATGTTTAACTTAAGTTGAACATACTGACTCACACATGTCCCAAGCACTTGGGAAGTTGAGACAAGGAAATTGTCTTGGGCTCTAGTATAAGACCTCTCTGAAGGGTGAACACTAACAACAAAAGAGCAAGAAGAAAAGAATGAAATATTTACCTGCTATCTAGATGGTGTTTGTTTATCTAAGGATTTTTTTGGTTAGAGTTTCATTTTGTCCTGTTCTATGTTAGAGTATTCCCAGAAGGGACAGTGATTCGAGACCCCGCAAAGCTGTTCAGCAGCTTTGTGTAGTGGGCTTCGTGACAGCAGGATAGCCAGTCAGCCCAGTGCTTAGGGACTTAACTCTGATGATGTCAGATACCTGTCCATCATTCCTTTGATTCTTTCCAAATGCTTCCACAGGCCCATTGGTGAGGAAGCCGTAATTCAGGCCTGTGATAGGCGTGGTGCAGACACTGAGCTCACAGTTCAATGGGAAGATCTTATTCCCTTTATTTCCCTTTGCTGGCCCGGATTGAGTCCTGCCTGCTTATTCTTTGGGTGACCCTGCCTTCCTTCCCATGCCATGGTGGAGGAGGCACACTGGCTTCACTGCTGAGAGTAAGAGAGGATCTAGGGGACCAGTATCCCACATGCATGTGCAGGTTTTCAGCATCCTTTGCTACAGGGTCTTCAGGCTCTGAGCTTCCCACTGGTGGTCCTTGAACAGTGACCTGTATTTATTGTTTATATATTGTTGTGGGTAGTTAGTGCTTTTGTCAATCTGCTTTCTGTCTTTCATATTTTGATGAAATGCCTCTACTATTAATAGTATTTTCTTCTGAATTTATTAAAAAAATCTGGTTCTTTTCTAGACTTTAGTTAGGTTTAGGGAAAAAGCAAGATAAATGCATACATTCAGTTCAATAAATCTGTTAAAATTTTGGTTGGGAAAATTGACCAAATGGTTAAAAATGCATTTCTTTTGTAGGCACCTAGTATGAGAGAATATATTTCTTCAATTTAGCAACCATTTATTTAAAGTATTAATGAATAATTACCCCATCTTCTGGGGAAGACACTAAAGAGGTGGGTATCTAAATGTCTTCAGTTGGAAGTCTACTTAATTTTTAAATAATATGTTAATTTTATAATTCAGAATAGCAAGATTACTAAAGACTGGGTGGACAAGATTGTGAGAAGGACCTACGTAGCCCTGGCTTGTTAGCGCTTGTGATAAGGATGTGAGGAAGGCATGCCTGGGAAAAGGTTTCAGTTGAGCTTAATCTAAAGGATAAACCTGCCGTGAGCCAGATGTGGGGGTGTCAATAGCTTAGTGGATGTTTGCTCCACTGGTTATGCGTTTTGTCTTACAGTTTTAGACTTTTTCTTGACTTGTACTTTATCCATAGTCTATAAGAATAGTAAGAAAACCCCAGTAAGCTGTATTTTCAGTTCCAGTTCCTTCTCCATTTTTTTTTCTCAGACTCATGAAAAGTGGTATTCTTTATTTCCTCCTTCTCTGTTTGCAGTCCTGACTCATTTCTTCCCAGGCAGCAAGTGTAAGTGGTTGTCGGCTGTCTTCACTAACATGCCGGGCAGAGCACAGCCTCTGGCAAAGTGGAGTATACTTCCTGTTTACTCTCCTTCCTGCTCTTCTGCCAGTGCTCTTCTGGGATCCAGCCTTTGTTACCATCGGGAGGGGTTCACCCCTCACATGTGGTCACCTGTCAGAACTTCTCATAACTCCTATGACTCCAGTTACCCAAGTTTGAGTCTCATATCTCCAAGTCTCTGCCTTAGCTAGACATTATCTATCTATCTATCTATCTATCTATCTATCTATCTATCTATCTAT